GCCGGGAGGCGCAGGCGCATTCGGGGCGAGGGAGGGCGGGGACGCGCAGGTAAGGCCGAGGCGAAGGTGAGCTGGAGGGGGGCTGGGTCGCAACGGGGGCTCTGCGAGTCCTGGGAGCTATCTTTTGAATTGGTCCGTTCCATGCTTGTGGGTGTTAAGTGGGGGGCCCAAGGCGGGGTGGGGACGCTTTTCAGATCTCTGCCCCCGCCCGACCCCACAGGGCCCATCCACGAAGAGCGCCCCCAGTTGCCGCCAGGGCTCGTCACCCAGTTGCCCTGTAAACCAGCAAGGACCGCTGCTCTCTCCAAGGTGGAATGTTCCTACCCCCACCCCAGCTGAAATTTCCCAAGAAAGCTCACGCCCCTTTCTCTCCCACAGTGCTACTAAAGGGGCTGCAGAACTCAGGCCTTGGTTTCGACGATTCTACCCACCCACCTTCCACCCGACGACACCCACTCCCGAGTGTTGGGCGCACACCCCCTGTGATACAAGGAGGGGTGGCTTGGCTCCACACTTGCAACTGCTATTGAAATAGCGTAGACCCACCCAGTTCACGGATGAGGAAACAGATCCCGGGTTCTTGACCCCTCAGATCTGGCGGGCCCTGTCTCCGTCTACCCTCCAGGCCCCAGCGCACATGGCCTCCTCCCCAGCAGCCGACGTGTCCTGCAGGCGGCGGGAGAAGAGGAGGCAGCTGGACTCAAGGCGCAGCAAGTGCCGCATTCGCCTGGGCGGCCACATGGAGCAGTGGTGCCTTCTCAAGGAGCGGCTGGGCTTCTCTCTGCACTCACAGCTCGCCAAGTTCCTGTTGGACCGGTTAGGGGCAGGGATGGGGGTGGAGGCCCCAGATCCCTCTCCAGGGCCAAGTGCATCCCGCTGCTCCTGTCCACCCTTGGGTTTCCTTACTTCAGCAGGATAGTCCTCCCAGGGTCCTGCTCCCCTCCCCATGGTCCCGGCCCATAAGAGGCCATTGGGGCTTGCCCCTTATGTGTGTGAGTGCCCAGGACAGAGGGGGCGGGGTGGCTGCTTGGACCCTGGCCTGACCTGCTACTTATCCCACTGACAGGTACACTTCTTCTGGCTGCGTCCTCTGTGCAGGTAGGTAGGGGATGGCTGGGACTAGGAGCCAGAGGGAAGAGGGGCAACAGGGTGGCCCAGAAACACCCTCCACAGAAGGGTTGGATCAGGGGAAACCCTGAGTGAGCTTGGGAGGGAGCATGAGTTGGGAGTCTGGGGTAGTTTGATAGCACAGCCTCTGGGGAAGGAAGCCATGTCTCAGGACCTTGGATGTCTGGTTCTGAAGAATGGTACACAGGACCGGGGCTGTGGTTGCTCATGGGTTTGGGAGGATAGGGCTGTCCAGGTGTGGCTTTCTTGGGTGAGAGGAATGGCTCCCAGCTCAGCCTGACTGCTTCCCTCCCCCCAGGTCCCGAGCCTTTGCCCCCCAAGGGTCTGCAGTATCTGGTGCTCCTGTCTCACTCCCACAGCCGCGAGTGCAGCCTGGTGCCCGGACTTCGGGGGCCCGGGGGCCAAGATGGGGGGCTTGTGTGGGAGTGCTCAGCAGGCCACACCTTCTCCTGGGGACCCTTATTGAGCCCAACACCTTCAGAGATGCCCAAGCCTGCCCCACCTCCTCATACGGCCTGGAGAAGTTGGTGCCCAGAGGCCAAGAGTGGGCAGGAGCCTGCAGGTGGGTCAGGGAAGAGTGTGGACAAACGGAGGAAGAAGGGTTTGCATCTTCTGTTCTCTAAAACATTGGAAAAACTGTGCTGGCAAGGAAATATGTATCAAAAGCAAAACACAATAGTATGCTGTGCTATCGTGGGTAGAAAATAAAAAACATGGAGGAAAAGAATAATGCATTTGTATGTACTTGTGGATGTATAAAATATCTCTGGAAGGTGCCTGTGGGAAGAACTAGGTGAGAGGGGGCAGGGTTGGGGAGGAGACTTTTCACTGTGTCCTTTTTATACTTTTTAAAAGTCATGCAAATGTGTCATCTCTGATGTAAAACACCCTTCTCACTTCAGTAGCCTCTGCTCTCTCCTCTCTTTTTTTTTGAGCTGGGGTCTCAGTCTGTTGCCCAGCCTGAGAGTGATGTGGCACAACCATGGCTTTCTGCAGCCTTGACCTCCTGGGCTCAGGTGATCCATTCTACTGCCTCAGCCTCCTGAGTAGCTGGGACTATAGACATTTTTGTAAAGATGAGGTCTTACTACATTGCCAAGGCTGGTCTCAAAGTCCTGGACTCAAGTGATCCTCCTAGCTTGGCCTCCCAAAGTGCTGGGATTATGGGCATGAGCCACTGCTTCCAGCCTCTTCCTTAGAGGCTCTCATCACTTCAGACCTTAGAATTCCATCTACCCGCATTCCTTGAGCTCAGAGTTTCTTACCCTTTGACGCTGCTTGTGCCAATAGGTTTGGAATTGGGGCATGACGAGAAGACTCAAGAGGCCAGCTTGCCCAGGTGAGCATGGGGTAAGAGGGATAAGATGGACTGGTGTGATAGTGGGGTGAGAGGGCAGGTCCTTAGGCTTGCCTTCCTTGGGCCTGCAGGGGTGTGGGACCTCCACCGGAGACCTTCCTGCCCCCAGGAGAGGAAGAAGGTGAGGAAGAGAAGGACAATGAGAATGAGGAGATGCTCAGTGATGCCAGCGTGTGGACCTACAGCTCCTCCCCAGATGAGGAGGTGCTCAGTGACGCCAGCGTGTGGACCTACAGCTCCTCCCCAGATGAGCAAGTTGGGCTTAGGGAGGTTGCTGGGTGGAGCAAGAGGGAGGAGGGGCTGGCCAGGCACTTCAGAGCTTGCAGACTGGAGAGATGGACTTGGTGGGGAGAAAAGAGGGCAGGTTTGGGGGAAGGTGGGAAGAACTAGGGTTTTTGGAGTAGGGAGGGGAAGGGGAGACTTGAGGGCTAAGAACAGATGTAAATGAAGAGCCTGGGTGGGAGCGTGGTTCTGAATTTGGGATCTTTTTGGTTTAGGGACTAGGGTTGGGCCAGGGCTGGTTGAGTACCCAGAGAGATGATGCCCTTTTCCTCTTGGTTCTCATTTCAGCAGTGAGCCAGATGACCCCGGAGCACCCCCTTCCCCTGTCACCCACACACCTGAGGAGGTGGAGACACCACCAGCCCCTGCAGCTCCCCCTGCTCCTCTTGCTGTACCATTGTCAGCATCTTCACATGGTTCCAGAGCTCTGCCCGTGGAAGCTGGGGCGCAGCCAGAGCTCAGTGGGATCCCACAGGCACCCCAGCAGACTGAGCCCCTAGCCAGGTAACTTGACAGCTGAGACAGAGGGCAGGGGCATTCCAGGATGTAGTGGGCTCCCTCAAGGCCTGTGCTCCTTCTTTGCTGCCTGTAGTGCTGGGAGTCAGGCTCAGTCTGCTCCGACCCCAACCTGGGATGAGGACACCGTACAGATCGGTCCCAAGAGAATCAGGTAGGGCCTGGGAGATGGGGCTCTGGGAAGGCTGGAGGGTGGTGGAGGAGGGTGGTCAGGAGTCTTCCTCTCCATTCTCCTTGCCAGGAAGGCTGCCAAGAGAGAGCTGATGCCCTGTGACTTCCCTGGCTGTGGGAGGATCTTCTCCAACCGGCAGTATCTGAATGTGAGGGGCGTGTCAGGCCTGTGTGGCCTTGGGAGCGGGAAGGGCTGAGGAGAAGCTAAAGACAGGAGCTGAAGGCGTTGAGGAGCATTCAGAGCAGGAGGAGGTGGGCTGGGGATGACACATGGAGCTGTCCCACCACTGACATTAAACCAGATGGCTGGTGGGTGAGGCAGGATGCTGAGCCTTGGGGCAGGGCCACTGCCAGCTGCACATCCCATGAAGAGCACATGGGCGGGTGCTCGTCAGGCTCCCGCGGGGCACTGGTGCCTATCTGGGTGCTTGGCATGTGTAGAGTCTTTTGGTCCTCACAACCGCCCTATGGAGTAGGTGCTGATTTAACATGCACTTTGCAGGTGAGGAAACTAAGGCACAGAAAAGCTAAGCATTGTGCAAGGCTCCCCAGTTCATGTGTGGTGTTGCTGAAATGGTTTTGAGCCTATGGGAAGTTCTTCCCTGGCTCCAGAGTCCACACTCGGGCTGCCCTGTCATGCTGGCCTCACTGGCTCGTCCTAGGGTAGGAGGGACTGGGCGATAGCCCTGTCCCCAGCTTCATTGCCTGAGAAGTTTGGGGCACAGACAGGGAAGGGCCTTAGCTCCACTGCCAGCTGGAACCCTTGGAAAGGCTGGTCCTGAGGCCAGGAAGGTCCACAGACAGGGGTGACGAGGTTGGGTGGATGGACAGTGGGTATAGGATGGTAGAGAGGAACCAAGGGGAAGTTCTGGAGTGATGAAGCCTCACGAAGCCCCAGGCTGAGGAGAACATTCTGCACAGGTGGGTCACACATGCTGGAGCATGTCACGGGCAGACAGGCGCAGTCCTGAGGGTTAACTGTGGACAACCAGGGTGATGCAAAAGGGGAGCCGTGCAGTTGAGTGACTCAGGGTGCCACCATAGGTCAGGAGAAAGAGATGCATGTCCAAGCTGGGCATTTAAGGATGAGGAGTCTATTATCCTTGTAAGTGTTCTGAGGCCAGGTGCGGTGGCTCACACCTGTAATCTCAGCACTTTGGGAGGTGGAAGCGAGAGGATTGCCTGAGCCCACAAGTTTGAGACCAGCCTGGATAACTTGTCTCCACAATAAATCAAAAAATTAGCTAGACATGGTGGCACGTGCCTGTGGTTCCAGCTACTTGAAAGGTTGAGGCAGAAGGATCGCCTGAGCCCAGTAGGGTGAGGCTGTGGTGGCCATGAGTATGTCACTGCCCTCTGATTCAAAAAAAAAGTGTTATAGGTTGAGAGCGTGTGTGTGTGTGTGTGTGTGTATGTGAGAGGACACTTCTGAAGCTGATTGATTTAGAAGAAAATAATGTCTATAAAAAGCAGGTAGTCTGGGAGACATTGTTGTACATCAATCCTGATATCACAGAGGATGATCACACTCATCCAGCCTCTGTCCCTCCCCGACAGACAGCAGCTCATGGTTAGGTGAACAAGTGTGTCCCAGAGTGACACTTGGTACAGGAGACAGTGTAGACAGTGCAGGGTGAGGGTGTGGCAGGGACCTGAGACTGTGGAAGTCAGGAGCAGAGAGGGCAAGGCAGGGCTTGTGGTCAGGATAGGATGGATTGATGCTCTGAGGTAGGTGAGGGTGGGGCCTAGAAGGCTGCTGGGGCGCAGGGGCCAGGAGAGGAAAGGAACCTGCCTGCTGGGCCATCTCAGTCCACCTCCCTGGGGAAGGCGGCCATCTTTTGCCTCTCTCCTTACTGCCGACTCCTTCCCTAGCACCACAAGAAATACCAGCATATCCACCAGAAGTCCTTCTCCTGCCCAGAGCCTGCTTGTGGGAAGTCCTTCAACTTCAAGAAACACCTGAAGGAACACATGAAGTTACACAGTGGTGAGTGACGTAACCCCCTTTCTCTGTGGGCCTGTCACTTTCCTGTCAGGTCCCCCTCTCTGAGGCCCTTCATCTCCTTCTGTGGGGCATTTTACCTCCCTCTGAGGGGGCCCTTCACCTCCCCTGGGACCCTTCACCTCCCTCTGGTGGGCTCTTTCCCTCCCCCTGTGGGACTGTTACCTCCTCCTGAGGGTTGACAGTTACTTATCCTGCATCCCTCTGTTGAACACCTGCCTGCTGTAGATTGTTGTAAATTTGGGTATAGCAGTGGAAAGGTGGGCAGCCCTGGACCTCGTGAGACTCTTCGCTAATGAGATGGGGCATGAAGTGTGGGAGCAGAAGACAGGGAGTGTGGAGGAGGGGTTTCTATTGTAGAGAGAGAAGCTGCTCTGGTAGAATCCAAGGTGAGGTGAGGTGTGAAACCTGTGCCATAAGACTACAGGCATGCACGTGGGAAGGCCTGAGGTGGGGTCTGGCTGGCATGCTCCAGGAGTAGGTAGGAGGTCAGAAGCTCAGGAAGGAAGGGAGAGAATTCATGGACTGCCTACAGCGCAGCTTGCTTCTGCTTCAGGTCAGATGGGTGCATTGCAGGGTTTCAAGTGGCAGAGGGACATGACTGACTTTGCAAATGGCCACTATAGCACTATGTGGAGAATAGGGCAGAACCAGACATTCCGCTGTGCGGTGACTGCAGAGATGTGCAAGGGCCATGGTGGTGGCCAGGACTTGCTGATGGCAGTTGCATTGGTGAGGGGTGGCTGGAGGCTGTGTGTGTGCCGATGGAGCCCAGAAGGCTGCTGTGGTAGTAAGGGGGTGGGGGAGTCGGTGATGCAGAGGAGTCCTCCTTGGGTGCTTGGGCGGAAGGGAGCATGGGTCCTGAAGATGGAGGCTGAACAGGCTTGAGGGGGAACAGTGATATGAGACTTGCTAGTCAGACATTCCAGGAGAGACAGATCTGGAGACTGGAGAAATGTCAGCAGGAATGTGAACATGAATAGGAATGTGTAGGTTGTGGGTGCACAGGTGGTGTTTGGAGCCTGGGGCTGGAGTGTCCCAGTATGGAGAGAGGTCATGTAGGTGAAGCAGAGGTCTGAGAGGCACATGTCACTGAGGGCAGGCCCTGTGGGCCATGAGAAAGGGAGGAGGGCAGAAGGTGCCCAGAGAGGAGAGAGGAGGGGATTCCAGGCCACAGGCCAAGTAGGGTGAGGTGAGAACAGGCCACCAGATGTGGCAGTGGGGAAGCCATCCTTGTCCAGGTGACAAGACAGTGCTGCAAGAGGGGCAGTGGAGCCATGGGGATAACAGCCAAAATGAGCGGTTCCAGGCAGAGCAAGACTGAGGTGAAGAGACGTAGCTCTTTGTGGAGTTTTGTTGTGAAGATGGCAGGGAAATTGGGTCTTGATTGGAAGGCTGTGGGCTCAGGCAGAGATGGAAGTGATTCCACAGAGAAAAGGCTTGCCCTGCCAGGTGGGCGGGAGGGTCCTGGGCACAGTGGAAGAGCCACTAGTGCAGCTTGAGGATTCTTGGGTCTGGGTGCAGGGGCAGGCTGGCTGGTGGGTGTGGGGGGCAGGGTGTGTGGCTTTTCTCTCTTGTTGGTGACTTAAACATTGTAGTGCTATGTGAGGCTGGTGGTTTGGGGGTATGAAGGCTGGTAGAGGGAGGACATGATATAAAGTGCCTGTATTCTAGAAAGTGGAAGAGTGAACTGACCAGGGAAATGAAGAGGTGAGGGGAGCTGGGGCGGGGGTTGAGGGGGTGGATGCTCCCTTGAGACTTGTGGTAGTAGATGAAAGGAGAGGCTTAGGGGACGATTACCCACAACACCTGCGGCCTGGGGGATGCCAACCATTATATTACAGCTGAGGGAGAATGGGACTGGCAGATGGGTATCGTGTGGTGAAGGAAGGTGACAAACAGAGCTGAGCAGGGAGGGGAACAGAGGGTGGTGGGGGGGCCAGTAGATGGGCCCTGAAGTCATAGGATTATCATAGCAGGAAGACAAGGCAGGAGGCTCTGCTGGAACCAGGATGCTTGGCATTGCTAGTCCTTTCCCTTC